GTGTCCAAAATGGCATTCACACCAAAAGTAACGGACACTAGAAGACATGTGGACCTTCCCTGCTCTTATAACACTCCAGGGAGCTAAACCGGCTGCTTGGGCTTTTTCCCATGATCGGAGAGGAACAGGGAAGACACTTGCAGTTTTCTGAAAGGCGTTGCGCAGCCTCCGCTGTGATCCGGACCTTCAGCAATGTGCGGGAAGCCTCCGAGTGAGGGAAACGCCGGTTGAGGCTAAACGGCCTCTCAGGGATTCCCTGGGATTGCCAGGCGAGATGTCGGCAAAAAAACAGCTGTAGAGCGGTTATCCGCAAATCAGCTATAGCACGCTGAGAAGCAGTCTGACAGCACGAAGGTCTCCACAACGGAGCCCACGAGGCTCGTTAGAGCCAGGGCTGTAGTCAGCTGCAAGCTGAGCCTGCCACTTGGTTCAGAGTCACCAATTTGAAGAAAAAATTTAGAATCAGTATTCCAGGTGGCCAAATTGATCATCAAATTTGTAATACAAATTAGAAACTAACTAGTCTAACCTAATCTGTTCAGAGGAGCCAAAAATTTTGCATCCTGCTGAGCTAAGACTAAATCAAAAACTGGGTAAGGTCCACCCACCGGTGGATTCTGCATCATCATGTTGAGAAAAGGCGTTCAGATAAAACAATGCTCCACATCACCAGCCCTCTTTGTGGCCCTGGAGGCTGGGACTCAGTTCTTGGCTGCAGAGGCCTTTCTTGAAGGCCTCTGATGGTGAAATGCAGCCTGGAGGGTGTCGCACACGTCAATCTAGAGTTCCATTCTCAGCTGCAGAGGTCTTTCCTAAAGGCCTCTGATGGCAAAATGGAGATCAGGGATGATACGTGTGAGTGGTAGCAAGTGGCCGCAGAAGTGGGATGGCTTTGGGGGACAGATGTCAGTGCTGCTGCTTCGAGGTGAGACAGAGGAAAAAACATCCCCGCCAAAATAAGACCTGGTGCCTCTTTTGGAGAAAAAAAATTAAGGGTCTTATTTTTGGGGAATCACGGTAGGGACTATATATATTGAACAAAATCTGTCTTTTAGGGTTATCACTACTTGTGTGGAAATATAAAACTTTATTGCTGACTGAAAAGATTTGCCTATGTGCTGTTGTTTTATGCGAAGCAACCAAAGCAACATAACAGAATATGAAATGGCTTTGTCATAAGGACTATGTTCCTTCTAAGATTCAGATAAATTAGGTGTACTGAATCCTTGACCTGAATCTCACCTCAGATTAATCTCCTGTCCATTTCTAATTCCTGAGAAAACATGTTTTCCAGTATACTTGTCCTTTATCTTGTTCTCTTCATTTTGACAGTCCTAACAAAAGATGAAGTAGGCTGGGGAAAAGTGGAATTAGTGGCCATAGGAAGTAGGGACAAGTATCTGAGTATGTCTGTGACCTAAGGCCCTGTGTAACTTCATGGCATTGCTAAGACAGATGGTTCTTCTGTGCTTTTAGCTCCCATGTGAAGAAAAAAGACTTGCATCTTGGAAAGTGAGGTATTCATCTCATATACTCTAGAAGTGCTTTGCCTTAAGGCTCAGTGGCCAATATAGCATAATGTCCCAGTTGTGCTATATAGAGCTTCTGGCTTGAAGAAAAATGCAACTTTCCATCAGTGGCTTGAACTGCCAATTCATTTCCCATTCCTGTCCCGAGTAACAAGGGGTTAATTTTATTGTATGATTTCATGGGTGGTTACATCAGGACTTTCAATTAGATAAAAGAAAATGATTGCCTCCATTACATCTCTTTTGAATAGCTGAGAAGCGCTATAGCAACACACAACATCCCCATACATTTTATAGGGTTTTGTCTCTTTTCTACTGCTGCCTTAAAAATTAAAATGGAGGATGCCATAAATAGAGGTAGGAGTATGTTGATAAAAAAACAATGGTAGTTGCCCACATCTGACACTCATTTAGACAGGATGTTGGGGGGAAAAAGAGAAACTGGACATTTTTCCACCATATACATTATGCCACCTTCAGTGACTTTACAATGCATAGCTCTTTTGTTTAACAAAAAGGAACCTATATAAGGTTTAAAATGTATTCTCAATGGATTGCAAGAATTGGGTATGCTGAAATGCATGTAAGGACCTATTTTTTAAAAAAAATCTCAGAATTTTGGGTCATCTGATTATTTATCCGTTCATAGTAACTAGTTTTTGGGAGAGTGGTAGTAGTGGTGGAAGGCAGATTCTTACTAACATATCAGGTAAGGTAGAAATGGAATGAACTGGGAATAAAAAACTGACATCTTGAAAATGTAGAATAATATGGCTAATGTTTTTGCAGGTCAGGGTCAGTTTGCTGAAGCTGAACAATGCATTTAAATTGTCAAACTGTCAAAACCTCCACCACATATTCTTATTTATTACTGTCACCTAGGGTCACCCCTTGTGGAGCTGTTCCTTGACAACAGAGAAACCTTCAAGAACTTTCTGGTGTAGGTCAGGTGAAAAGCTCCTGTAAGCATCTCCAGCTCAATTTCTGAGACACCAAAGGTGGTATGAAACAGCAATTACAAAAGCAGGAAATCCCATAGGCATAGGTGTTCTTACTAGATTGAAAATTCCCTCCCCTTTATTGTCTGATTACCGGAACTGAAAAAGAAATATTTTTTGTTAGTATTTATAAAATATAGATAAGTTCTCATTCTGAAATGATTCTGGATGGAAAAACGGATTTCCCTCTAAATAGATGACCTCATTCAAATGCTTATAAACTTCAGAGATAGCATAATTAGGGGAGATTGATATCCTATATTTGTGTTACTCATGTCAAACTATGGAAAGTGCTCAGAAAAGTGGGAATCCCAGAACACCTCACTGTCCTCTTGAAAAATGTATATTCAGATCAGAATGTCACTGTATGGATAAAAAATATTGAAATAGACCTGTTTCAGGTTGGCAAATAATGAGACAATGCTGTATACCAAATATATATTAAGGGAAGCTGGATTGGAAGAAGATGACCATGGTTTTGAAACAGTCTATATGTTTGTGTGTATAAAAACATGAACTCTCCATCTAATCACAAATATTAAAAGCTCAAATTAATCCACTGCAGGATAAAGGCATCTTCACTGAAGCTGTGAACTGTAATTCATAACTTCTTTATGACTGGCCTGAAGTCACTCAGGGAGATTCTATGTCTAAGGGAGGAGATATAGGTCCTATCCTCATCCAGTCTAGTAGCTTAACCATTATATCCCACTGGCTCTCTATAGCTATAATAAAATTTAGCTATAATAAAATCAATATCATTCAAATGTGCATGGCATAGTGAGTCAAATTGACTGATGGCAACAGTTCCTTTATGTCAGACATTTGTGTTGTTAGATTCCATAGCTTAGTTCTTATTGAGTCTTGGGCTAAAGCTGGCCGTGAGTACAATATATAGGAAGAATAGTTTTTGAATCATGAAAACCAAGAGATGCTCTGTTGTTGGTTTTTAAAACTTTCCCCTATAGACTCCATATAGTAGCTATCCTATAAAGCAGGGGTGTCAAACTCAATTTCACTGAGGGCCACATCAGCATTGCTATTGCCCTGGGGGGGCTGGGTGGGTGTGGCCAGAGTGGGTGCAGCCTAATGGGTGGGCGTGGATGGAATGGGTGTGTCCAGTTCTACATCATTCGCGTCAAGGGTGCCTATGGGGGGCCTGGGCAAGAGTGGGACAGATCTGAGGGTCTCTGGCAGAAGGAGTTGGGACTGGGGCAAGTGCCAAGGCATGGTCCACTAGGGCAAGTGCCAAGATGGCCATCACAAAATTGTACATTGGCTCCCGGCTGGCCTGGGTCAGGCCATGGAAGCAGGGGCCAGTCCCTCACTGTTTCCAGGATGGCTTCGCGGGCCACATGAAACCACTTTGTGGGCCGCATCTGGCCCCTGGGCCTTGTGTTTGACATGTCTGCTATAAAGGCTGACATAACTGAGTATTACAAGAATTATTTGGATTGCAATCCAAATACTTTGTGAATACTAGGAATGGCACAGTTAAAGTCTGCACTTTTCTGGTCCAACACTAGTTATATTAGGGTAGCATCATAAAATATGATATGATATAGAAATTGGCATGGTATTATGATTCACTGATTAGCAGATAAATTAATATAGATATTTGCATTGTGAATATTCATTAATAAAACTAACATGGAATTTGTTACTTAGTTATGTAAGCAGCAATAGTACTAGATTTATATACTGCTTCACAGTGCTTTACAGCCCTCTCTAAGTGGTTCACAGAATCAGCATATTGCCCCCAACAATCTGGGTCCTTATTTTACCGACCTCAGAAGGATGAAAGAATGAGTCAAACCTTGAGCCGGTCAGGATCAAACTGCTGGCAGTCGGCAGAATTAGCTTGCAATACTGCATTCTAACCACTGCACCACTACAGCTCTTCATTAAATTCAGCAAATTCTCTTATTTATGTTCCAATGTCACATGCCTTCCAAACAGGAAAAATGATCCATAGTATTAACTTTTGACAAAAGATGAACAGATGAATTTTCTAGTTCAACCAAATCACTATCTATAATAACTATAATACTGAGTTGTATAACACCTGCCTGTTTCCTGCTGGCCAGCTCTAATATAAGTTGTTACTCTAGCTTTGCTCTGCTCACTCTGCAATATTAGATTTACAGTTGAACCTGTAAATCCTCTTTATCTTCACTTGGACAACAAAAAACTCCAGTCAAATGCTAATTTCTGAGCAGTCCGTGGGAAAGAAGAACAGTGGCAGGAATATCAAGCATTTTAACTAAGGCACAAGATTTCCTAGATGCAAACTGAAATAGTAACCTCATAGAATCTTGCAGCTTTTGGTAGGTATCCTTTCACAATTATGCTTGCTAAATGAATCTGGAGGAGTAATCACATCCTCATCCCAAAGCTCACGCTCATGTAAATGACCACTTTTGCTCTGAAACTACAGTCTTCTTGTGCAAAGTTCCAAATTTTCCATTCTTACCTGCGCAGGAGCAACTTAGGGTGGTTTTTGTTTTCCAGGTTCTTCTCAATCAGGTCAGACAGCAACTGCTTGAGGACATCAGTGGCATATTCTAGCTTTCCTTGAAGTCCTGTCATGATGAGGGAAGCCACATTGCCACGGTCACGCATAGAGAAACTTCGCTGTAATTCCAGGGTACGGATAAATGTCAACAAAAAAACCTTATTGTTGAGTAGCTGGGCAAAGAGCTTCAGGGCTTTTTCAACATTCTGCTGTCCATTCCCTTGAACCTATAAAATTTCACAAGTGTTAACTTTGTACCCTAAAAGTAAATGTGGCACGGATATCAACTAAACTGGAAAACATTAATACTATAATAAAATACATGGATTGATACTACATCCAAAATTTGGCTTTATCCATGCATAGAATCCATATCTCAACTTTATGAGATACTTAAATCAGAATAGATTCTTAGTAATATGAATGTATGAATTTATTATAACTATAATTCCATTGAGTGATTTATATTGTGTTGACCATCATTCTTGATATGTATTCACTTTTAGTTTAATAGCGACTCTTAATCATTTAACATGATATAATTTACAAAATATATTTAATTATTTACAACTCATTAATGATATATTAGAAAGCAAACCATGACATTTAAAAATCCCTTGTTTACTCACTTGTATTCTATTTTTAATTATTTTCAAATACATTTTTGTGTTTGTTTAAAAATTCTTTAAAGCTTTCAGTTAAAATAATTTAAAATTCAAAGTGTTTTTGAAAGTAATTTTTTTACAAGGTTATATTGTTTGTGTTGCACATTTAAAACAAAATACTCTTGAGTTGTGAGCTACTGCACAGAAATGGCATTCACATAGGCATGGTACTGATTTAGACTCTTACACTGTGAAGCTCTAATACATGCACACATAAACACACTTTTCCAATAGTTCTGGATGTAAGTTATGCATTGTAATTCACAATAATAAAACAATATAAGTAGTTATTTTACAAAATTCTCACTGACTTATATTTTCAACTTATTTATATTATATAACTAAGCAGCAGTGGAATTGGTGACACATTGATCATTATCCTAGTTCTTTGGAGAATGGCAAAATCAGTTTCAACCATCAGTTTTATTTCCTATTTTCTATATGTATAAGAGAAAGCAAGGAGTGATAGATGATGTAAACACTAGCATTCCCAGGTATAATTTTGATGTACTCATATAAATAATTCAATTAATTTCTTCTTTACATGTGTATTAAAAAATAAGGAAAGCGACAAACTTCATTTGATGGTAACCTAAATAACTTTAAAATACAAAAAAACATAAAAGCAAAAGAAGTGAAAAAAGTGAAATGAATTTACTAAACTAAATATAAATAATGGCGCTTTTGTATTTAAATTTTGATCCCCCAGCCTTGGGTTACATATTGCCCCTTCAGCTACAGTACCTGCCCAGTTTATTTTAATTATACCCTTAGAGAAGTACTTCCTATAGTAATTGATATACCTACTTACAATAGGTAGGATAATGTAGCTTTCCTTAAAAGAATGCAGATGATGAATTTGTTCTATCATGAGGCATCCCTTCTTTGCAAGCTATATGGTCAAAAGAAACTAGAGCTCCATACTTTCTTCTATAATAAATTATTCAATCAGTTTTTACTGAAAAGTTGAGGAGCTCTAGCTTTAATGTGGAGAAAATAAGGCGTTCTAGCTTTTCAGACAAAGAGAGCAGTGAAATGGGAAATGTCTTTTCAAGAGCCATCAGCAGCAAAAATGAAAAGCTATTTTCACAGGGCACCCTGGTGGCTTATTGAGGCATGGGTATTCCCATGTTATTACTCTCACACATGCCGTGTTTGTAATGAATGTGTAAAAATGTTTCTGATGGAGTTTCCCCTTCATTGTTTTTCCATGGTCAAATGTCAGCAGCAGCATTTTCATACAGAATAATGGGTCCCATCTGCTCCTGCTTTAACATGAAAAAAACCTTCCTCAAAATTGGGATGCCTGGTGATATACTTAGTCAATTCAGTATACAATATAGACAGAATTGAAGTGATGTGATCAAGGTCTTTCTCTTGCACAAAAGCTTTGCCAAGTGGAGGACAAGATGCAGAAAAGCTCCTTTGCAAAACGGGAGGCTTATTCCTCTAGGCAAAGCAGAGAATGGATTTCCCAAGCTCCCCTTTGGCTTTTTTTGCACAAAGGGCGAACTCAAAGAGAATTTAGGCAGTCATCGGTAATAAATGCAGCTTCTTTGCTGTTGGTCATGGAGGACTAGTCATGGAGTTTTAGCGATAGAGAAAGAAAAAAAAATGTCAGGGCAGCAGCTACACAAAGGCAATCAAAAGAAAACAAACTGTGTGTAAATATATATAAAATGCAAGGTTTCTGTTATAATGAATGTCAATATTCATTGTGCTTATCCCAACACTTCTAATAAGATTCAGCGTGGGAGGTAGAAAGGTGCTTTCACAGCTATGTGGATTTTAATCGAGCTTCTCAGAAAGGACCTTGAAATTCACCAGTGACCTGATGAGATTGAGATAGAGAGAACATATGGCTACTCCATTACCTCTAGTTCACGCAGGACAGGGTGATCTTCAATGCCAGGGAAGAGAACTCTCATGGCATATGTGCGATAATCAAGATACGGGATTCCTGAGCGGTCCAGGTCACTGGTTAACTCATTGATGTCTGTCTGCAGCTCTGCAAAAGCTATTAGGGAAAGGGAATGAGAAAGACAAGCAATCAAGAGACCGGCTCTGGGATTGGAGGCTGAGATACAAACAATCAAGGTCTACAAATGAGCCAACTCAGGAAGTTTGTTTACTCCAGACCTCTCTGTGTCACCAAGACATGCCCTGAAGCAGGGAGCCACTTTGTCAGTATGAGAGAGAAAGAGCACAATGCAAAGAACAGATGCTGAAACAAAACACACTTCCTAATTTGTATTCTGTTCACACCTTGTATGTAAGCACTGAAAATGCCTTGGAAGGCACTAGATAAAAATAAAGATCCTATTTTTAAATCAGTTTGTGTGGCTTTTTTTACTCTCTCACTTACTCAACCCCTCTATTCCTCATGTCCTTTTGATATAGCTAGCAGAAGGAAGCTATCCCCTTGTTTTATATCTTATCTAGGGTCAGGGAAGAAAATTATACTTTTTAATTGAGATTCAAAACTATAACAAGATTCATGGACCTAACAGAAGATTCTCCTGATGTACTTAGTGGGAGAGCATGGAAACTGATGTAGTTCAATTGTAACAACAGGACAATGTATATAAGGATAGCACACATGTAGCACTTGTCCAACTGCTTTTTCTCAAGATGAAGATCTATACAAATACTGTGCACACATGGCAGTTATTCAACCTTCTAATATATTGTTCTGGAGACCTCATTGCACTATGAAAATTAACCTGTGAATGTCAAAATCTTGCTGCTGAATGTGAAAATCTATCTTGTTTGCATCCTACCTACGTTTGTGTGTGTGTGTGTGTGTGTGTGTGTGTGTGTGCATGTGCGTGCATGTGTGTGAGGCTTGGAAGTCTGTGGGTTCTACACAATGGCACTCTTCTAGACAGAGGGCTCTAATGCTGTTTTTTAGAAGGTGTTGGAGTTTACCATATATATCGTATCAGCTTCATGTCAGCATCTGTCTTCAATAATGGAAGCAGTAGCAGTGACATTTCAGCTTCAGGTGTTGGCTGAACATCTTCTTGTGCTTCAGGGTCTTCTTAATTCTGCAGGATGCCATCTGGGTTGTTCACCGGGACCACAGGTTTTGTCTCCCAAGCTTTTGGACTCATGCTGTACTCCATCTTCAAGGAACTTCTTTCTAGTGCTAGAGAGAAGTTCCCTGAAGATGGGCTCCAGCATGAGTCCAAAAGCTTGGAAGCCAAATCCTCTAATCCCAGTGACCGACCCAGATCGGATCTTGCAACATAATCCTGGGACATGTATATTTGCCTTCATTCATGTATTTGTTCTATCTGAAGTTGTGAAAGCAGTGTCCTCTTCACTGTGTTGATGCACTAGTTAACTCGCCGTTTCTCAGTTAGTGTGGATGTAGTTCTTCTGTCCATCCATTGTTCCCTCATACATTTCATATATACCCTCTCATTGTATCTATTGTTATAGTAACATTCCTTCAATTCCAGATTTTCTTGTCTCATGGTTTATTCCAGTAACCCACTTATCATTGGATTGTCCTGGCTCAACATCTGGTGTGGACCTGGTTAATCTAGGTGATATCTGAGCCAGCAGGACTCTCTTAATTCATGTCACTCTCACATTTTGAGGTAGGAAGATGAAACATTGGAGGTTTTTTGCCCAAGGATCAGTACACTATTCAGCTCTGTGTGTATGTGTGTGTGTGTGTGTATACATGCATACATATGAGTCACACTATCTAATCTATTAACATATAGTGACACATTCCAATATCAAAAAAGCTGTTTCAGCAAATTCAAAAAGGTAGTAGGCAAAAGAACCTTTTGTTTGATGCTGTAGTTAAATAATTGAGACTTTTCAGTCTGTGCTTATCTATGGTAAATCAGTCAGCTCAATTTTCCTTCTATCTGCCTTTGCTTTATGCCGTCTGCATTTCAACCAATTGATCTGATTTTTTTTCCCAGCTAGGTGGTTGTAACAGTATTTCATATTCTAAGCTTCTTGATTTTTACACCAAGATGTACAAATTATTTTACAGCCTGGTTCCAGCATCTTGTGATTGCAAAGGATCCTGGCTTTCCTTAACTTCCCATGAAATGCCTTCAGAAAAAGATCCACAGATTGCCAAGCCTAATGACCTGGCACCGACAAATTTTATACATCTTGCTGAAATAGGATCAAGTGCTAATCCTGTTTGCCACACATTAGTCAAGCAAAGGATGTCTCTACATTTAATATACTTTTTACTGTTTTCTGACACATACAGACACTCATGGGAAAAAATTCCAAGCTTCTCTGGCTGTAAAAGAGGGCATTTTACAACTATATGTGTGTTTGAGAGAGATTGACCAAATGTTTATTTGACAGCTGTATGTGGGGCTCAAGCCCTGTTAAATTCATACTGGATCAAAGGAAATAGGTTAAACAGAAGGCAGTTACCATGGAAACTACACTTGGACTGCTCACTATTGGAGATGTGCTCAATGAATGGAGAAAAGTTATATTAGGCAAACCAGATAGAGTTGTGTGTAGTGTATATGTTTATACGAATGAAGATTCAAAATAAATAAATAAGTAAACAAACAAAATACGCATGCCTTTTACATAGGTTAAGTACAATGACTGAAATGGATTTATTCTTTGAGCAAGTGACATTGAGACAGATATGTACTATGCAATAACTCTTATTGGGTTGATAAAAGGTAATAAGGAATTAAAGAACCATTTGTCAATGCTATACTTAACTGATAATAGGAATTAAGTAGCAATAGCAATAGTAATAATACTTAGACTTATATACCTCTCCATAGTGCTTTACATCACTCTCTGAGCAGTTTACAATGTCAGCATATTGCCTTCAACAATCTGACTCCTCATTTTACTGACCTTAGAATGATGCAAAGGGGAGTCTACCTTGAGCCAGTCAGGATCGAACCCAAGACTATGGGCAGAATTTAGCCTAAATACTACATTGTAATCCTACATCACCACGGCTCCTAACTAAATGAAGGGCTTAGATGCTAAACAGTTGTTCATTAAACATGCCTGTTTATGTGTTTGGAGGGGCATGTGCATGTGGTGTGAGCATGCATGTATTGGCATAATTATGCATATTTTGTATCCATATATGCGTGAAGTAACATTCTTCAGGATCTATTTTATGACTAAACAAGGTGATATAACTTGTTTGAGACCCTAAAACAAACATACTAGCAATTTGTCGTGCATTGTATTATATTATTATACTATAATATTTTGAACTTTTTACAGCAAAATTGGCAGCATTTTTCTTGCATTAAGAATTTAAACATGCTCTTCATGATTCTGATGGGTTATCTCACCTAAAATTCACTTTCTCTCACCATGACTCACTTTCTTTCATAGTGAAAGTACAAATAATGTTCATAAACAGTGAAACCAAGTCGTTCCAAGCCTGAATGGACTGCATATTTTAGAGGACCTCTTATTTGAAATTAGGGAGCGATACTGACCTTCTTTGCATTCAAGGGCTACCCGAGACTCGAGGTTGTCCATCTGCATCTGAAGTCTCTTGAGTGTGAGATCATTTTCACGTGACTTGCGCTTGTAAGCAATGAGGACTATGATAACTATGATGAGAAGAAGACTGCCTCCTGCTGCAATACTGACAATAGCAGGCAAAGTCAGCAGGCTATCTGAGATCACATTCACTGAGCCAGGTGAGAAAATGATGCCACCTACATGCACCTAACCATCAAAAAGAATCAACAGAAGATTACATTACAGTGTGTACAGAGATTAATTTGGAATAAAAACAGTCACTTAAAAAGATGACATTTAAATCACGAAATATGCTAGTAAGAATGCTGGGAATAGGACCAGCAATGAAAAAGAACACTTCTCCAGCATGATTGGATGGAGAACCCACGGATGGGTTGTCTTAATCTATCTGCTCCAATTAGACTAAGTCTGAAATTTAGTACCGCCCCCTCTGTGCCAACTGCACCCCAGTTTTAGATTTAGTCTCTTTGCTCTAAGACGCATTTTTCCTTCGCTCCTGGAGCAGAAGACTGTGTATTCCTATTTTATTTTATTCCCTTTAGCTTAGTGCTAACCATTTTTATTAATAGATTTGATAATTTAAAAAAAAAAAAGAAAGAAAATTTTTTTCCAGTGATCATCGCAACCTGTAGCCTAGCAGGCTGACAAGCTGACAAACCTCCCTTTGGGGTAGGGAAAACTTTCCCTTTCTCCCTTTGAGAGCCTTTCAGCTTCACAATCAGCTTGAAAATTGGATTCCCAGAAGCAAGAGAAATCTCCTACCAGGGGCCGTTCCTCTGCATCAGAGGCTCCGTTCTTCTAACCAGAGCCTGGAGGCCTTAGAGGCAGGGGTAACCTTGCCAATTGACTGGGGGGCTCCGCAAGCAACGACGAGGCTTGTCAGGCCTGGAGGGAGCCTTTTCTAGGTCCCTTGGCCTCAGCAGACCACCCCAGCAGCAGGAGAAAGTTTTTGGCACCGATCCAATTTTCGGAGCCTGGAGGCCTTACTAGGCCTCGGCCTGCCTCAGCCTCTCTCAGCTCACCTAATTCTGAGGCCTGGAGGCATTATCGGCCTCGGCCAGCCTCAGCGCCTCCCAGCTGACCATCCTAACACCCTCTGCTGTGCTAGGAGCCCAGGCGATTCTTCGGAACGAGGGCTCACCGCAGTTCAGGCCTCCGCTGTGCTAGGAACCCAGGCGATTCTCAGGAACGAGGGCTCATCGCAGTTTAGGCCTCAGGCCTCAAGGCCTCCTTTCTAACGGCCGTTTTTGGCGCGCAGAGCTTGCAGCCGCCATTTTGAATTACCTCCCGGCCGCCATTTTGGAACTTACAGAGGCCCAGACTAACTGCAGGATCATTCCAGAAGGCAGTTTTCTGACAAGTTGAGACAGAGGCCTCTAGATTGATCAACCTTATCACCGGACAAGAGTGATTGGATTGGGGAGGGCCAGCTCGTTCCGGAAGGACGCAGTGCCTACCAACCCCCCATTCACGAAATATGCTAGTAAGAATGCTGGGAATAGGACCAGCAATGAAAAAGAACACTTCTCTTGTATAAGTCCTTCTATTTGTTTACTTGGGAATTAATGCATGGATAAAAACTGCTCATTTTTGTTGAGGAGCTGATCGTTTTTTAAAAAAAGAAATGTATAGTTTTAGGCACTGACATATTACTGCTGTTCTGGAAATCATTCCCAAAATGCTAAATACACTTTTAAAAGTCATATAAAGCTACTATTTGCTAAGTTGTAGATAAGTCCTTGCAAGTAACATCCCCATAGAAAGGAAGGTCATATCCTTTTTGAAATATAGAAGAGCCTTCGAGTTACAACATATCTGTTATCCTTGCACATTCCTTTGATTACATGATATCTTCATTTGACTTTCATAATATAGGTTTGCAGCTTTCTTTTATAAACCATGAATATAAGAAAATAAAGATTTCATTGACAAAGGAATGAAAAGGGAAAGTATAGAAGGCAAGGAAAGAACAAAAGAAGAAATGGAAGGGGAAAACTGAGGGGGTTAGTTAGGAATGCCAAAGAATAAACTGATGTGCACTTTATAGGTGTTTAAACCTGACTGCTCTTTAGAAGGCCAGATCTTAAAGTTGAAACTCAAATACTTTGGCCACCTAATGAGAAGGAAAGACTCACTGGAGAAGGGTCTAATGCTGGGAAAGATTGAGGGCAATAGAAGAAGGGGACGACAGAGAATGAAATGGCTGGATGGATACACTGAAGCAGTAAGTGTGAACTTAAATGGACTCCAGAAGATGGTAGAGGACAGGAAGACCTGGAGGAACGTTGTCCATGGGGTCGCGATGGGTCGGACACAACTTCGCAATTAACTAATAATAATAATAATAATAATAATAATAATAATAATAATAATAATAATAATAATAATAATAATAAAAAGTTGGAAGGGACCTTGGAGGTCATCTAGTGCTTGTGATATCATATAAATTATAGTATTAGACAAATGATGTGAAGACTGACTCTTATTTTTTTTATGAAAAAAGTATGTGCTTTATAAAGTAATCCAAGGATGCTCACATTAGTATTTTGCTAAACTCAAGACTATCAGTGGCAAAAACAGAAAAAAATCATGTGTGATTAATTACAACCAGACATCATTTTGGGGATATGAAATGACTTCAAATGGATTCTAAAAAATGACAATTCTTGTAAAGTTCTCACAGTTTTAAAAGCAGACAAATCACTAAACTCAAGAAAAGCATTCATCTGCAAATGTGCAATGCCAGAAGTGCCTTTAAAGGAACAATCTAACCCATGGCTCTTGACTATATTGATGGTAATGAGGAAACTAGCAATCTACAGCAAAATCAGTGAGAACTAGATAAGTATCCCCTCACAGCAACATTGCATTGCATGTAAATGGTGTGAATGAATAAGTGCTTAAGCAAATATAGTATGCATGGCACAATAGAGTATGCATAGCCTTCGGTACCAAGCAACCATATATTCGTGATCTATCTCTACAACAAACTTCAGCACCAGTTGTGTTATCATCTTTTCTGATATTTTTGTTGAAATGAATAAGACCAGCTATTGAAGTGAAGCCTATTCACTCACAGGCTCAAATTAGAAGTTAAAGTTTCTAGTAGAAGGCCATAACAAACCACTTCCATATTGCTAAGGAAACAATACAAATCTGTCCAAGAGGTCACCATAGTTTAGCTCGGTTTGGAATAGACTTTATTTTTTGAACATCTAAATATGAAGAGAACTGCATGCAAGTCATCATTAAAATGAGCCAATATGAAGGTGAGACCATTTGGATCTGCTGATATCTTTGGTGCTGGAGAGCTTAAAGATCAAACACTCTTCCCCTCCCAAAAAAGCTCTGTAGCTATATTACTAATATTCTTCAGCTTTTAACTTTTTTCCCCTTGTGTGATCTGTTGCTTAAGGTCTTATCATAGAAGTGGGGAGATTCTACTCTACTTCTAGTCTACCGTTAACCAAGAAAGAAAGAAAGAAAGAAAGAAAGAAAGAAAGAAAGAAAGAAAGAAAGAAAGAAAGAAAGAAAGAAAGAAAGAAAGAAAGAAAAGAAAAAGAAGTTAATTGGGTGTTTTTAAGCAGGCTACTTTTTCAACCCATCTTATCTCACATTTGCTGTTACAGAGAAATTTGGGGAATTGCTGTATTTAACTTAAGTTATTGGAGAAGAGATGGGATATATATCTTACAAATAAAAACATATCTCATTTGTTCTGCAAAATATCCAGGGTAATTTTCTCTTACAGAACTGGGAGCAAGCTGATCTTGCCTTCAACTATAGCTTCCATCAGCATGAATTGAGGTAAGGTATGCTGGAGACTTCTGCACCCACTGAGATGTTCTGCTGCCTACCAAAACTCTTGCTGCTATAAAAGTAGTTAGGCTCAAAGGTTTGACATCACTTTTTGTCTTTCAATAGCTGCAGGGTTTTGTGTTTGCCAATGAGCAGTTCAGAGTTACAGCTGCTGTAACTATTACTGCTTTATATACCCTCATGCAAAATTCATACTGTGCCAGTGTGTGCTTGGATAATATGTGTATGTATGCCCAAGTTACAAACACATGATGGCGAAAATATTTTAAAATTTCAACAGATTTCTTTATGATATTGTACATTTGCATGTATAAATTAATGGTAGTTAATTAGCCCTTTGGTCTAATCATGTGATCAGATTAATGCATTTATTTGAGCCATCTTTATACTGGTCCTGAATTAAAAACACTTGTGAACTGCAATTAAAGACATTATATTTTCAGGAAATTGGTGGTATTGGAGATTCTTATCTTCTTTTTAATCAAATATTTTTTTTAATTTCCTGGAATGAGAGCTAGTTTTGGAATGGGGATCAACTCTGACATTTGAAAAAGTAGAAAAGACAAAAAATCTTGATTTTTGAAGCTCACCATAACTTTGTGTTGCCCGGTGAGATTTGGAGGTTCACAAAGTAATTGGGTCTCAGAGATGGTGACAGCACAGGGAGTTTCTCCAATCAGAACAGTATAATTCAGCTTTGCTCCACCCGATGCAGGTGGACACAGATTTTTACCCTACGGAAAAGCAAAAAGACAATGAAACGTTAGCTAATGTCTCGGCTTTTCTATGATTCAACATATATCCAACATTGTGGCACATATCATAAACATCATAAACATTGATGCATACTTATTTTTAAAAAGCTGCAACTGCGAATAAGAAATTATACAATTGAGAGAGAGGATGCATTTATGTCTCTAATGTATTTGAATTTATATTTAGTGTGTGTGTATTAAATTTTTGGGATTCAGTATTACATTGATCACAATAGTAGGAACTACTATAAAAATGTCTGCTATACTACTGTCCTTTTCTTTTTCATTTATATATGAAAACTAATAAGATATTTAATTGAGGAAACCATAACTGAAAGCTAAGAGGCAATTGAGAAATCAGGGGCAGTTCATGGAAATAGCAGTTAGTGCAAGAAGTAATCTTGAGAAGGTGAAAAATAAGATGGATAAAATTAGTCTTTCCTTTTGCCTGTGATTAAAATAAGTGCTTTTCTGGTACATGACTGGCATAGCATGATAAAATACATCTGCTATTCCAGCCAAGCATACAATATCAAAATACACCTATATGTCACAGAAAACACTAACAGTCCAAATTCAGATATGGATAAGGAACTATCTAAACATGTTTGTCCATCACACAGCTACTACCATTCTACTGGTATTGTGTTACATTAGGAGAGGAGAAACAATTGCTTGACATGAAAGAAAAGACTTCACTGAAGTATCAGTGGTACAGAAAGCTATCACACATCAGGTACAAAAATAAGACTTTTCACATCAGCAGTAAAAATGTGAAAGTGGAGAAGATATGGTAATCCTGGGAGTGAGACATTGTTAATATAATATTGAACTTTAAACTTGATGTAGGTTTGGTTCTCAAAACACAGTATTGTAAACTGCCAGCAAATAAAAGTGCAGAATAGTTATATTTATTTTCACAAGAAAGGAATAAAGTGTGTTGTCTGACTTGTGACATATCAGTAAGAGTATCTGCGATGTTTTAAAATGTTCTTAACAATTAGATGCTAGGCCCAGTTTACTAAGTTTTTGTTTTGATATATATAGCTCAGAGTTTAACCTAGGACTACACGTTATACAAAGGAAAATCTGAATATATGCAGTGGAGATACATCAATTTATAGATTCCTACAATCGTAAACTCCTACAGTATGTGATAGAAATGCACATGTCAAACAAAATGTTTTGTGATGTATTACTGTTGGGAGGGGAACTGTAGGCAACTGGGGGGAGGTTAGCCTGTTACATATACATCAAATACCTTGAGTTATATACTTGTGTTAAATATTGGGCTGCAAATACATAGGAGGTTTGCATTACAATATCAATTTGGATGTTTTTCTGTCATTGTTTCTGCCAATTCCTATGAAGGAAATAAAGGAATGACGGCGAAGAGAGCATTTCAAATTTATTTTTCAAGTTTTCCTAAAGAAGTTCAAATCAAACCCTCTCCGAAATATTTCTGTGTGAAATCAAAATCCCACAACTATTTTCCAAGACAAAATTTGCAGATTCGTAATATTTGAAGAGTTTATGATTTTAAACATTCACATATATCTTCTTATATAACTACAAACAATACAAAAAATTACAGATTAATATAAGAAATGGAAACAAGATTTTATATGTAGGACAATACATTTTTCAAAGTAAATCTGGATTTGAGTATATAAATGAGTCACCTGGATTGTGCCGTCACTTTACCTTCAGGATGATGGGTGATCCTGGCTTTTGGTCCAAGATGCCAGTAGCACTCAAAAGTTCAAAGGCAGGGTTTGGATAATAAATAAATTTGGTGTCATTATAAATCAGTAAAGATTGAACATTGTTAAAGATGAATCCGATTTCATCAGGTCGTTCAACAACATCCAGACCTGGTCGGTACTGTGATGTAAGTGAAGGAGCCAGGCAAGTGAGGGTGGTAGTATTCACAACTTTACAAACCTGGAAGAATACAATGAAGGCAGGGTTATACCTTGAATAAAATATTTTTTAATTATTGTCACATCATGATTCCACTTTAATTAGTTTGGCAAGACTGAAGTACCAAACCCTTTTCCAAACCATGTGATAACTTGTTCTAACATCAGCCAGGAAGAACATTCTGTGAGAATGACTCTAGAAGTGAAATATAAGCTTTTTATCTCCTTTTGTTCACTACCATATTTTAAAAATATCATTTCTATATAGAAAATAAGCATTAGACATGCATAATGCTGGGAAGCTGGATAGAGCTTTAGTATACAAGAAATAATCAGTGTTATATGGAATCTGAAATAGAAAAATACAGGGTTCTTTTTATTAAAAATGGATTATAGATTCTGTGAAATGAATGATAGCTGGAAATGATACCAGATTCTGAGGTTGGAAGACAAATTTTATTGAAATAGCATAATGATCCTTTAATTAGATAGACCACAATCTGATAGTAACTTGTTTATGGTCACCTGTGAATTTCATGACTGATCAGAATACATCAGATCTGTTCTGCTGCCTATATCTTCCTGTTATGTTCATATACATATACAACTGTTTTGGATCAATACTGTACATTAAGAGATGTGGCAACTTGTGAAATGTGCAATGAACCTGTCATGATTGAGTTCTTATACTTCAAAATTACCACAGCCCATTGAAAATAAAATGAAGCGCTACACAGGAAAAGAAATCAATGTCTCACATTTGTGTTTACAGGTCAATGAAGATCATGTTAGCAAATCTTCAGAAGATATCATACTTACTAGCATCATATTCTCAGGCATCAAGGGAATAGAAAAGGGGTTTTGAATAATCCAATCTGGTTATATAGATTTCTCATACGCATTAAGAGTAGTATGTGAGACCAATTTAGTTTTTTTATAAATACACACATCCACACACACACACACACACACACACACTATAAAGATAACAATAACATTCAAGTTAAAGGAGATTCTAATGCTTTCTTTCTTTCTTTCTTTCTTTCTTTCTTTCTTTCTTTCTTTCTTTCTTTCTTCTCTTCCTTCCTTTCCTTCTTTTCTTATTATTCAATTTTGAAGCTACCAAGATTGTTGGACGAGCAGGCACAGAAACAGCCAGGGAAGTGATTGAAGCTTGGGAAACAGGCCCCTCATCAGTCAATAGGAGTGCTGATTTATCACGCCTATCAAGTATTTAGAAGGCAAGAGCTGGGCAGCACAAGCAAATGACAGCTAATAAAGTCCCAGAAAGTTTATTTTCTTTAGGTTGTTCCAGATGTTTTACAAAACGATATAATTCAGAAACCTAAAACCTCCTAAAGCACCACAATTTTAAGAAGCAAGAGTTATATATGCATGTACATTCTTTCCTCTGCTTGAATTATAGCCAAGTCTTTGGATGGGAACTGTGAGAAAGAATCTTAAAACTTAAAACTGAATGATAGTGCTTTTTTAAAGTTACATATTACATTACATTTCCTCACTTGAAACCAACACTGAACCATCATAAAGCCCAAAAATTAAATAAACAATAAGGCTTTGAAATATGAAAACTACCAACTAGACTAAAAGTTGTGTTTATGAATGAAGTTAAGCTACATGGCTGAATCAGTCAGTTCACAATTTACATTTCTAATGTGAGGTTCTTCTTGAAAATGCAGACTAATTATTTGCAGATCACAACAATTGATCATAAAATCATTTTTCTCAATGTGAAGCATTTGCATTTGTCTATTTACATATTCAATTCTATATCTTACTCTACACTCTAGACAGAATTTAGAGCTTACATTCTATATCTACTGATAAAATAAATATCACTTATTTTCTGTAACTGTTCATTTAATATAGAAAGTGAGGGGAAAATGGATGACGCTAATAACAAAATTTTACTATCCAAAGCTCCAAATTCTGTCCATACATAAACTATGCAGTTGGCTAGTTAAACAAAATCAAGGGGCAAATTGTTCTTTCTGTTATTAATAGATTTAAATATAAATATTTTTAATGATTCAACCACACTGAATCTGAATGGGATGACTGAATCAATGAAATACATCATCTAGGAAATCTTTTAGGCCCTTATGGTCAGAAAGTAATTGTGCCCTTACAGTGAGATTGTATCTATGTCTCATCCTTGTCCTTATTTCTGCATACAGCTGCATATGTAGATTTCAAAATTTGCCCACAAAGGCTGAGTTTGATCTTAATGCTGACAAATATCTGAACAGCTGTGAAGCTTTTTTGTTAGTCACAAATGCATTTGTCATGGAGATACATTGTTTTGGCAATGGAAATGCAACATTGCAATGTTAATCACATTGCAATGTTAATCCTAGTTTGAATTAAAATCCTTCAGGAATATAAAGATTTTAAACAATAGTCTAAAATGGGAGTTTTTAAAAATTTTATATAGAGATAAATGTCAAGATAGGGCATAGGTACAAAAAAACCTTGAATTTGTGAAAATTGCAATTGTGCTGCAGATCTGGATGGAAACAAATACACAAATCAGAAGCTATGTCACAAGATGGTATGGGCCAGAGCCAATTTTACAATTAAAAAGTCTTCCATCACTTGCTTCTCTGAGGCTTTGATAGTTCTCCAGGATTGTTCTGTTTAAATGAAGCAGGTGTTCAGAAGGGTAGAGTCAGTAAAATATCACTACCATTGTTGTTGTTTTTTCAACCTTGTTTACTTAGAGCATCTCTGCCTTCTGCTGTTGGCTTTTTGTGTGCCTCCAATGATGTATGGTGGGGCCTCACAATGACACAAGTACCATATGCTGTCATTGTTCCCTGTTAAATGCAGTTTCTCTATATAGTATGATAAGGCTCCATGGAATAAAATAAAAACAAGCTCTTAAGGTTATTCATGATAAGGACTCTAAAATGGAATCTAACTAATGTAACATAAGATATAGCTGCACAGGAATTTTTCCTGCATTTTTTAGAATGTAGGGATTATGAAAAGACACAGGAGGTATGAACTCTCCCCGAAGACCTCTCCCCTATTTTTTACATCTCCTTCTACAAACTATATTCTGCTGTAAACAGTTCACAATATTTAACTTTATTTTTATCCTGCCTTTATTATTTTTATAAACAACTGAAGATGATGAACATATCTAATACTCCTTCTTCCACAAAGTTTTGCCACAACAACAATCCAGTGAGATGGGTTGGGTTGAGAGAGAGTAACTGGCATCCATAGGGAGGAGGAGTGAAAAAAATGGCAGGATGGTTGGTGTAGCATCAGAAAGCAAGATCCACTGTTTTCATATGTATGTAAAAAACTTACAGTAACTTCATAGGAAAGCAAGAATTTAACCTTCCATCTACTGTAGCAATAGCACTTAGACTTTTATACCACTTCACAGTGCTTTACAGCCCTCTCTAAGCAGTTTACAGAGTCAGCATATTGCTCCCAATCTGAATTTTCATTGTACCAATTCCAGAAGGATAGAAGGCTGAGTCAATCTTGAGCCAGTGAGAATCGAATTGCTGGCAAAATTAGCCTGCAATACTGCATTCTAACCACAGCACCACCACAGCTCCTTCCACTGTAGCCAAAGTTATGCTAAATACTATAATAAATTAGAACCAAATACAAACCTATTAATGAAATATTTATTAGAATGAATTTTGATTATTATGAATGTGGTTCTTCTGTCTCATTAATAAAATAGATCAGGGTTATATTTGAATAACAAGCCTTTCTTTTTCAAGTGATTAAAGATAGTTTTGAAAAACAATCAGCCTACAACTTGCATATCAACCAAGAATCATGCAACCATTGGGTTAAGGAAACTTTCAATCTTTGGTAAAAGCAGATATTTACATTGACAGATTCTTTGCCATTGTACTTCACTCGGATTCTGGGTTCTTGTATAACATCCAGGTTGGATCCTGTAACAGTGAGAGGTGTGTGGCCACTGAAAGAAAGCAGAAGTCTTTAGGTTAATGAGGTTAATATGTCAAGAGGAACCAGAACTCAGTGTCTATATTTCTTATAAGTACAAATGTTTGTTGATCTCAACACGACATTTTCTGCAGGTTGAATAGGGTGACAGAGTGCAGTAATATACCATTGAATGCATTAATACACCACTGTCTTGATTCTGGATTAGTTATCTCCCATAACAATGTTTTTTTTTTGTTTCATTTGTCCCCCTAGTGGATAGTTATTTTTTCCATGTAACTTTTCTTAGACATGTTAACAATGGATGCTAAGGAAATCAAATGAACAAAAAATATGGAGGTCATTTCTTTGCTTCAGACTTTCTAGCTCAATAACAATAACACTCATCTGAAATTTAGATTTTATCTCTAGCCTTTAATATGGCAGATACATTGGGAAGTGATGGATAGTGAAATAACTAAATAGGGAAGAGCCAAAAAAATCAGCTGATTGGAAAAAGTTGGGTAGATGTTAACATGGTTGCATACACAAACTATTTGACAGTGATCTATTTCTATTATGTGGATTCTGGGGAGATCTTTTAATATACTTTTGATTTTAGCCTCTCTAATTCCTAAGGAAGATGTGAATGACTAATTCACCCCAGTATCTGTCTTGACTGTTGCTTCTGACTAAGATTATTCTGAGTTTCTCCTGTGATTAATTGAATATGTATTAAAAATCTACCATCCCTATCTAATCAATCTCCAGATTACTCCCTTCCCAGATATAAACTAGAGAAGACTAGGATTGAAAGCAGCTGTTGTCAGTCAAATTGTTTTTGTTCTGCCTTATGTGCATTTAGAAAATTAGAACATTATTGAGTACCTAATTAAATAGGAATGAGAAGTTACTAAATCATGGTCATTTGTCTAAGATATTCAAAATTGCAGGTTTAAAGCTTTAATATGCCAGGCTTTTTTAAAAAAGATCTTCAATTCCACTTTTTTCTTCAGTAAGTTTTGAAGCTCACCACATTGCTTCTAAGGATTTCTAAAGCCAGTCTGGAATCATCTATAAGAAAGAAAGACTTCCATTTCTCAGAACTCTCAATATATAGAGCTCACACTCACATTTCATCTTTTGTATGCCATATTGCATACAAGTCAGAAAAAGCTAATAGCAGTGCAAAAACTGACCTAAGGTTTTAGAAAGCATTCAATCAATAATTGTACAGTAGAGTACACTTCTGGGATATAGCTACGGCATCTTAGGTAATTTCATGCATGAACTTTTTTCTCTTTTTGCATTGATTGCCACTGTTTCGGTTTTAGCACTGGCTCTCTTAAGAAGAAGCCTTTAATGAGCAATTGTGCATTTCTTCAGCAGATGGAAGTGATCGTGGGGCTCCATTTGCTTTCCTAGAATCTTGTCACGGATTGCTATGGCTGTAATTGCAGCTGAATTAGTCACTCTGATTTTCTAACTCAGGGAAAAGAGATGCTTTCATTTCCCTGCAACAAGGCCTGGGGATAGGAGACCCACTTATTTCAGATAGTTTGTTCTTTTGCAATAGATTGAAAAGGTTTATCTGAAACATTTTCAAATAAATTTTTACATCTACCTTTTTTTTTGGCTTGACACATGCAAATTATGTGATCATTTTACAAATATAATTCTTTAAATTGTCTAGACCTTTTGAACCCAGGAAATCAGGGGAATGGCTGTGCCATATTCCTTGAAGTATTAGACCTTTATTCATAAATCTTCTATATTTACACAGGTGGAATAAATCCTCTAGGAACTGTGAAGCTGGTGCTGACAACAGAGAGGAAAGCAAATGAAGAGAATTATAAATTATACCTTTTTCTCTCTCACTGGGAACTTGAATGTGCTGTGCTAAGTCACAGACTCTGTTTTCTTTTCCCTATCGAAGGACAGTTTTAAACTAGCATTTATAAATATAGTGTTGATTCTAAAGTCATCACCCATAGTGACATGGTTTCAAAATTTGAATGAAGCTTTTGTTGAATTTTAAAAATGGTAATCACTACATTTTTTTTCCTGCCATGACTGTGAAATCCAGGCCAATCAAAATTGTTCTTGCAGGGGTGAAGAACTTTCATTTATTTGAAGATAGTTACCAAATATTTTATATTCTTTGACAAGACAAAGTATTTTCAGCCTGACTCTAGGCTTGTAGATAATTTTTGCAAAATGGTTTTTGGGACAGCTCTAGATCGTTGAAGATATTTATGAAGAAAACAGTGTAGCATGGCTTTTAGATGTGCTCAGTAATAATAATGCCAAGTCTTTTCTCTCCAATTATTGTTTTGTTTGAATTATTGGAGTAAGAAAAGGGAATACCCTGACTAGAGGTGCATCCTAAGTAGACACTAGTAAAAAAGTGCAGAAATCATGTGGCTTTGAACAATGCTTTGAAAATTTCAACTTGGTTGAATTTCTGTTTTGTGAGGAATTAATTGAACCCTGCTTCAAGTGATTTGTTTCTTGATGCAACATTATAGGAGCTTAGTTACCTGGCTATGCTCCATTCAGGCTCAATCCGATGAACTTTTGGGTCATCAATGTATTCAAATTGTAATGAGCTTTCTAGCTGGGCCCGGTCCACACTGACAGAAACATGCACTGGTCCAAGACCATGGGTAGAAGGTGCAGACACACACATAATCTCATTAATTGATCTCCTGTAAGAGAAAAAGCAATCTTTAGTTAGAAGAAATACAAACAAAAAATGACACCACTTATTGCCCACAATGGGAATCTTTGGGATTCATTCTAAAGCAGTTGAATGACAATCTTCGGGGGAGATATGATGCTTTTTAAATAGATATTCTCTAGTAGATATTTGATAGTCATGACTCACAAAGGCATGAATATTCATGTATTTTCATCTGAAGTCATTTTTACTTCTGCATATAATAAGCATACATAATTTAAAATTTGGATTGTAATTAAATCAAGATTAAAAATATGATGCTGAAGTTCTCATTTTTGGAAACATGTGGCAAGGTCTTGACTTTGCAACCTTGATATTCACATCTGCCAAAATTTTGTTTTCTAAAAAAAAAAACCCTTACTGAATAAATTCCATAATATGTATTAATTTCATTTATTTATATTATAAATGTGTATGCCATCTATCCATAAATGACTTTGCATGGCTTATAATTAAAGATGTACAAAATATCAGTTTCGGAATGGAACATTCCAAAATAATAATGTAAAGCTTAATTTTGACTGCATGCCCTTCTACTGTTCTGGTAGTGATTTATTGCATCTGTGTGGTCTGGAGGAAAAACAGAACACTATGTTCCTGAAAGCAGCATTTTGCACTTCCATCTCTACATCCAATATAAATATAAATATATATAGGTGTTTGTGTGTTCATAGATGAGTTGGGTGAGAGACAGTGATTGATCCAAAGTCACCAGCTGGCTTTCATACATAAAGCAGGACTTGAATTCACCGTCTCCTCGTTTCTAATCTGGTGCCTTAGCCACTAGACCAAACTGGCTCATATGAATATCTAAAACTCTATAAAGCCTAAAGGGGCCTATAAAAGATCACACACACACCAGTTGTCTAGATCAAAAAAGCAAGATTATACTAACTTTACTCAGTCTTTAATGCTAATTTTGAGATAAATGACAATCTTGAAAACTGCAAAAGGAATGTCCAACCCTCATTTTTTCAGTGCATTAATGTTGAGTTTTTTGATAATTTGAAATGCTTTTTCCCAGCTCTTTTAATATGAGCTGAGTTGCTACTTAAACTAATAATTGTGGTAGAATGTAATCTGGATTCACAGGATGGAGGGGCTGCTTTTCAGAAGGCAAAGAGGATCTCAGAAAATTTGGTCTGCAACAAGAGGGCTAAAATGGCTCTTCCCTGGCAGTTCCCAGAGTATATCTAGAGTTATACAACTAATTGCTTTACTCTGGAAAAATTCTGTATATAGATGAAAAACAATAAAGAAAACTACTCAGAATTAGCTCCAGGAAGGAGGGAGGATGGAGTAAATGTCTTTTATGTCAATTATTTCCCCTCCTATTCAAAATCATCATCAAAACTGTTTAATCCCCAGAGAAGAAAATATTAGGAAGCCTTGTGCTTTTTCCACTATGTATATACTCAGCAGAAGGTGTGGGGGGGGAGAGGGGGGGAGAGATGCAAGAAAGGATAACTAATGGCAGGAAAAAAAATAAAGTTACTCAAATTTGAGTCTTCATCTCCCTTTCCTGAGTCCTATTTCTCAACATAATAATGATGGGAAAAACAATAATTATATGATGCAGCTAGTTTTGCTTATAGATACATTCCTGGTATGAAGATGTATAATCAAAGAATGGAACATTGGTTATTCTTGCCTTTTTTTAAAAAAACAAACTGTAATAACCATCAATAATTACAATAATAAATTGTAAACTACTTGAGTAAACAAATTAAATATGTAACATGAACTTCAATTTACAGCATGCTTAGTATTTGGCTCTTTTCATTGGAATTAAGGAAGGACAAATAAGTTAAAATGTTTTATGGATTCTTCTATTCAGGTTTCAGGCCAGGTACATATGTATACTTTAGAAATCTGCATCCTGACCTCCAATATTCCCACAAAATTCATAATCTTCTGATGTGTCCTTGGAGCATGCAAAAGTAAAGTATCTAAATAAGTTTTATACCCTTGCAAACCTTAGGGATATAGTAAGATGTTGTTATATCGCCAGTGTTTTGGATGGTGCTATATTTGTTAAATACTTTACCATAAGCATAGTGGATTTTGTACTGCACTTTTACAAATAGTTAAATATTAAGTGCAATATCTTGTGGTTATATGAAGAGAATTACAATTGATATATTGTATTTGAAAAGAAAAAAAAAATCCCTCAGGATGCAATTTTTTTTTGAACACCACTCTGTTTCTTTACCCAAAAGAATAAAAGGGAGTTCCTGGTCTGAAAAAAGTATCATAAATTTGATTCAAAGTATGCATAATGAGATTAAAGGGTAAAAAAACAGGGAAGGAATATAAATGATAAAAATGGATGGAGGGAAATGGACAATGTAAAATTAAAAAAAGAGAAAGGAAGTAAGTTATGCACTGTCACATCACTGTGCAACCTGGCCATAATAACAATTTCTCTGGGAGCTGGAATCTAATCTTCTATCTATCAGTGACCTCACACGAGAATAGGCATTTTAACATGCCATAGGCCAGACTTCAGAGATATCTGTTTAGTCCTTGTGTAAGATCCAAAGCGACACATCACTGCTGGCAAAGAGTTAGTGCAAGCTCCCTCTGATCAGTTAATTAGCTTTCTGCGCTATTACCATATCGTCATGGTGAATTTCTCCACTCCTCCAATCAGAGGCAGGAGAATAGAAAGAAGCTGTAATTACAGTGAATCTCATTAGAAACTGCTTCATCTAATCAGTCTCCTACACATCATGAGTACATGCCAAGTTCATCACCTATAAACCATGCAGTTTATGGAAGAAAGAAAGAAAGAAAGAAAGAAAGAAGACCATGTCATGACCTTGTATGGAAAGGCAGGGATAAACAGTATGCTATTAGATTCTGAGAAATGTTGTTTACTAGATTATATGGGCAAATAGATACAGTGAATTAGGAAACGTTCTTAAATATAACCATACATTTAATGGAATAGTTATGTCGCATTGAACATAGATGTTATCATTTATTTATTCCAAATTTTTCCTTAGTTGCAAATTAAAAAAAGAAAAACCACTGAGGTTGATTTATAAATTCTAATTTATAAATTCTAATGGTGGTATATGCCACAAAGAAGGAATAATGAAGATAAATAAATAATTTGTGACTTAGATGCCCACAAGACTATACTTGGATGACAAACTATGAAGAATGTGAAAGGACATTCAGTATCTAGCAAGTCGGCTGATCTTGTCTGGCTTGGATGTCTGGGGAAGTGTGAAGATTGTTGAGGAGGCATTGATCTGTGGCAGAGGTGGGAGCTAGCTAACAGATTTTAGAAAAGTCCAGGCAATGTCCTGCCACTGTGGCAATATGCCCAGAGGGCAAGAACTATCTTGTCCTATTAGTGATTCTATGTCTGGAAGGGGGAAGATGACCAGTTCCATGCCCTAAAGGAATTTAATGCAACTAATGTAGTTAGATTGTTTGATTGCAGAGACTTTGCAGCCCTTTGGAAGTTATGCCACTCTGCCTCCTAGAAAAGTAACTAGATTTAGGATTGATGGTTGGGAGGAAGATTGGGATTGGACTGAAGGTTGATTGTGGAGCACATTGGTGAGGAAGGGATGGGACTTGACCCATTTTAACACCCCCCCCCAAGTGGGAGATAGAAGGGATAGTAGTGGCTTGCCTTAGGTTGGTGAAGTTGTATGTTTGTTGCCCTATGTATGATGAGTACAGAGGGAGAGGGCATGATTGGATTTTGAAAGTGAGTAGGCAGGAGCTGGTTTAGAAGAGTGTGTGGTCAGAAGCACCCTTGTATTTACTTGGCATCTAAATGGGTAGGATTTGTGCTTGGCTTGTGAATGGGACTGTTGGAGGAAGGGATAGAACAGAGAGTAGGGACCCTGTTCAAAATGACCCCAGTGACTTCTAGATCAGGAGGAATTGGTGGAACATCTGAATGGCTGTTAAGTGGACCAAACCATGAAATCAATTCTACAAAATATCTATAATCTTTTTTAATTGAGATTGACTGTAATAAATGAACCTTGCAAGTCTGATTTTGCTGTAATCTCCCCATCCTCCTTAAAGATCAATAAATTAGGGAGGTGTCTGTCCCAGCCACTTCTGAATATTATCTGGACATTACGGATTTAACATCCAATCTGAAAAATTTCTGCCTTTCAGCTTTATAGGGCTCTGGAGGAAGCTGAACCATTTTCAGTCCAGATTCAATCTGGAATATGGTATAGAGATGGCTTTGGTCACAGTTGTCAGTTATTTGTGGCAAGTCCTGGATGTATGTGATTCCTCCATCCTGACTCTTCTTGTCTCTTGACATGGTATCCTGACCTGGCTTTTTCTCTAAACACTTGAGTCTAGTTTAGTGGAATTTTCTTTTGATTGTTTAACCATCATATCTGGTCTTTTATATTTTATATGTTGAGTTATTGTTTAATGTTGTATTAATATTGTTACTCTTTATTGTTTGCTTTGTAGTACACTGCTCAATGTTACATTGTTGGGTGACTCAATACTTCTATTATATATATATCTCCCTTTCTGATATCCAAGAACAGCAGAAAGAGTACTAGTAAAAGATATCCCAGTATGTTTTTTATGCTAATGAATTACATGATACCACTGTTTGTCATGTTAGCCAACAGAGCTAATGAAAGCATGTAATCAAGTTGAGCTCTGCAAACATCAATGTTGCATCCCAGCATCAGTTGAGAGAGTTCCTGCATAACTCTAGGCTTAAAAAGTTATTTGAGAAGCAAATACCATAAAGAAAAAAAAATCTCCTCTGTAGATAAGAAATGAAAAACCTCCTGTAATGTAACTATGCACATTTCTTCTTATCTGTTCCAAAGGTATAAATGAACACTGTCCTATTAGATAAGGAGATACTAAATCAGTTAAATCAAGTTTACTCATTAACATGTCATTCCTTATCTCCCCTTTTCAATCCAGGCATAAAGTGGATGCTGGGATGTTTTATCTCTTCAGATACTAAAGAAAGCAGCATTAATATGAAAAGTCTCAGTAATTCAGCTTTGGAAATGTTAGTTATACTGCAGACAAATTGTATAAAAGCAGCAGCAAGTGGCATGCAAATCCTTCACTCCCTGCATCTGATTAACTTGCATTAAGAGTAGGGTGGAAGGAACAGTCAAAAGGCTTTCCATTTATTTCCTGAAACAGGTCCTTGACTTTTCTATTTTTTTACAAGACAATATGCCCAAGCATCCTATCATTTTAACCACAATAAGGTTGCTTCTTAAATTTATGTTTCATTTTATTTTCATCAGGAAATCAAATGTATATACAGAATTCCTACATAGTTTTCAGATCTCTGGCACCCAAATTGGTACCTATGTGGTACATATGAATAAAAGAGATGGGTTTGTATCATGAACTAATCCCACTGTCTTACCTGCTTTGACACCCACACAGTTGATACTGCTGTTTCAAGCTGAGTCTTGGGAGCATAGGAACCCGGCCTGTCACTGACACTAACTGGCAGGGACTCTTTAGGTTTTCTAAAGGAAATATTTCCCATCACACTTGGAGTTGCCAGAGATGAAACTTGGAACTATTTTATTATAAACTCATCTAACCAATTTCATAAAGACTTTTGCATGATATATCTTTGGACTATTGCCATGGATATTACAGAAAACAGTTGTTTTTTAATGATTCATTTTGTCACCAGAGTACTACATGTTTATTAAACGTACTTATTTGGAATTTTATTCTTTCTTGAAATTCCTGATTCAACTACATTATACAAAGCTTGTTGCCCAACAGATTATTATTGTTCATTGTAGTTTGCAGAAGAAATCTCAAACTATAATTTGTATTATAATAACAAATACAACATAGTAATTAATACATACAGTATATTATGCTGTTATATTTTTGTTACATATATATTGTTTGATATTTTGAAGTGAAGTGGGGTATATTAATAGTACATTGAAGCCTTTGATTTACACATTTATTTCAAATTGTGAACAATCCAAATGTCTTGAAGAGGAGGAGAGATTCATCTGTTGACCCTATGCACTTGTTCTAACTTCCAATCTGTAGTGGAGAGCCTATTCTACTAAGTCCTTGAGCATTCACATAATTGAGGGCCCAGATTTTAGAATTTAGTAAGAATTTTCATGGACAGTAAAGACTCTTCACTACAGATGATTGACCTCTATCTACATATAAAGAATGACATAAAAGGGCTGACACCTGGATAGGCTTTAAAAATTTTAGTGAAATCAATTTGTACACATATTAAAATATTAGAGGAAGATGATTTTTATTTCCATGATTCTATATGGAAGATCGGTTAAATTAATTCGAGCAACTTAGACTATAGATATTTATAAAACCTGAACAGACTTTGTCTTTCTGAATTGTAACAAGCATATAAAACCATATTCATACATTGTCCAATAATTTCCATCACAAAGACAAAGGGTCCAGTGCAAAAATAATTGTTTATAATGATTTTACATTCATGCAAAATTTCAATCATTAAATTGAACATTGACTATTTTGATTCTCTGATATCAATCAGTATGCTATACAGGACCAATTATGTAACTGATTACATAGCAAAAATATATTTTGTTCTTAGATATTTAATTATCATCACTGTCATGCATGTCATTCATACAAATACACAAAGTTAGAATATATAAATGTATGGCACTGCAAGTTTAAATAGACATGACAAAATGCAGTATTGCTTTTTTGATAAAAAGTAACAAAAGAGATAAAAATATATCACTTTAAAAATATAGAAACTGAAACATACATTTGTGAATTCTAAAAGACAAAAAAAAATTAAAGCTTCATTCTTAATTTCTGTCACTCAACCTCTTTCCCATTGCACTGGGAGGCAGGCACACCTGCTGCTTTCATAGTTAGAATAACAATAAGAGAATGGAAAGAGATGTCTTCTTCCCCCCCCCTTTTTTTTCTCTCTCATTCTCTTTTAATTTCTTGCTGAGAGAAAATGGGCTGGAGAACATGTAAAGGGATTTTGAGCAACAGAATATGTTTGAGACTTAGGGTAGAGGCAGGTTTTTGATATGCAAAAGAAAAGTAATAGATAAAAGTAATCAGAATAAACTCAATTCACTGAGTTTCATCATTCATCACAATCAGCAACAGCATAGTTTATGGTGATTTATTAGAGGTTAAGTGTTTAAAATCGGTGTGACTTTAACATTGCACATAAACTCAACCCTCCCTCCCCCAACTCTCTTACCCATAAAACTCGCAGGTCTGATTACCCAGCAATATCGACACACTGCTGCCAGCTCCCAGAAAATGGCCAGTAATGGTCACCATAGTCCCTCCTGACTCTGGTCCACGGCTGGGACTCAAATAACCCACAGCAGGATTCTTGGGAAGGAAAACAAAACAAAACAAAATAAAACAAGTTCAATTCTTTTGCTGTGATGTTATTTCAGGTGATTGTACAGCAAGACAAGATGGAGCTTTAGGTGAAGGGTTGAAACAGATGAATATACAAACCTAAGAAGTAATTAATTGATTACTTTTTCATTATGGTACTGACCAGATTGTACAACTGAACAAGTTATAGATAGTTTCTGTTTCAAGTAAAATGAACTACAGATGTTACAATTGTAACAACATCATCTAAATGAGCAAGGCATGTTACATTTTTACAGACAATATAACAAATGAAATGATATAGAGTCTACTGCTTAAGCAGGGGGCTGGACAAGAAGACCTTCAAGGTCCCTTCCAGCTCTATTCTGATTCTGAAATTTTTGTCACATTCAAGAAAACTGAATTCTATTAGTTTGTCAGTAAAAAGATGTGCTATATACAAAACATTTCAGAACTGTTTGGGTACTTCATCAGACAGGGAGTTATGAAACAGGCCTTTGCATTTTTATAAAAGATACCATATATCAGAACATGAGTTACAGATTATATGGGTCTTTCTCCATTAGGTACAATCTTAGTTCATATAGTGAAGTGATTTTTCTCCAACTTTCTGTTTGGACTGCAGTGTTTTTCATAGAAACTACCAACGTTATTGTCTAATTGACTGATGAGTTTAGCAGCTTTAATTCAACACATCTGGAGGATATAAAGTCGGTGTGACAGTATGTAGGCAGTCCCTATGCTTTCATTTTATTTTAATTCTTGAATGTATCATTTGTATATGAAGCATTCTATTTTCTAGAAACAAATATCAGGATGTGACAGAACACAACTTCCACCAGCTGTCTACTAACAATTGAAAATAAATTGTATTGCAAAGAGTAACAATGATATCATCAAATTTTGAAAATTTCAGAAGGAAGCTCAGCATCCTGATGATATTCTCATCTATTCTACAAGTCCAGAGATGAAGATCAGAAAGGGAAATAAATATACTGTAAGTCAATATTTAGCTAGTCAACAGGATAGTTTCTGGAAATATGCTTGAGCTATCTAGATCATGGCTGCTCAGAACTGGTGAAAATATGTTTAGCCAAAGTACAGTGAGCTTGTTAGGAATATTTAAATGGAACTAGACAACCCATGCATCATTGGGTCATGATTTCAGAGATATTTCCTTACCTAAGAGAAATAAAATGACCATGGTTGAGCAAAAAAGCAGTGAGTGAGGGAGTGACTTCCAACTTCCTCCTGTCTTTTCCATTAAATTTCCTTGCAGCAGGCAGAGAGCATCAGAAGCCAATCTTCCTTCCTTCCTTCCTTCCTTCCTTCCTTCCTTCCTTCCTTCCTTCCTTCCTTCCTTCCTTCCTTCCTTCCTCCCCCCCTCTCTCCCTCCCATTTACTTTACTTGTAAGATGCTTTCAGGACAAGATCAGTGGGGAAGCCTGCACGAAATTGCAAGTTCAAGGAGAGCAGGTAATTTAAGTGTCTGCTGATGGCTGTGGAAGAGAGTAAAGGGCTGAGTAGATCAGGAATGGTATTTGCGGGTGCAAGGAAGTATTGCGTGGATTGGGAAGGATGGGTAGGTGTATGACAGAAATATTATGTGGTCAGGGAAGATGCATAGGGGGTGATATGGGTCAAGAAGTGTGTGTTGGGGTCACAGGGGGTAAGAAGTGCCACATGCTTCTTTTTCCAGCTGGGAAGGTAAGTGGCTGTTGCTGGTTGGGGTAGGGAATGAGGGATTGTGAAATTGGGAAACTATCACAAAACACTGAAATTGAAAATTACATGACCATAGGAGCAGTCCAGAAACAGCTGATAGCACTGAAACAGCCACAACTTTCTCAAATTTTATGAATGTAATCTATCTATGTGCTTGCTAAATATCAGTCATGATTTGAGGGTACATATCTATCTAGTCATCCACCCACCCATCATCCATCATCCATCCATCCATCATCCATCCATCCATCCATCCATCCTGCTTACTATTATGGAGGTTGTAGGATAGTTTTTATATATTTGCTTTTAATTTTTATAACTAATTAGAGTTTTCAGTTATATTGTGGCACTTTTCTACTCTCTAGGAACACTCCAGTTGCATTCCTTAGATGGCACCATTTGGTGATGTATCTATGCAATGCATATAACTGTTTTCTTTATTGTACTCAGATCATTGCATTTTTAGAAGTTTTCATACAAGCTGCCATGTCTCATTTAGTGATCAAAGAAATCAGCGCACTGTCTTTGAATAAGCCTATTTTATTTTTAAAAAAGATATCTTAACATCAAAGAATTTAGAAGTCATTAGGAAAAAAACACTATATATGGAATGATCACAGAGAGATTTCTACAGTTATGAGACTTCTTGTATTGAACTGAGTTTTATTGTCCATAATGATGCTTTAATAATATTTCTGTAATCTAAGCAGATGATTAAACTCATCATAAATAGATACTTAGAATTCCTGCTTAGATTACAGAATTGTTCTTTTGAGTCATGATTTTTATCTTAGTTGCACTGAAATGATGATGATCATTTCCAGAGAAAAATGCTTTAAAAACTGAAAATGAAAGTAAAATAGCATTAATATAACATAGCACTTAATGCTACATATAGTGCAAAAGTTGTATTTCAAAGAAATTTGAAATATTCCTTAATTAAATATTCTATGATTGACATCATAATCTTTGGTTCTTAATATTATTTAGTTCTTGATAGGTAAGTAGTTGAGTTTCCTGAAAAAAATGTAATTGGTTGTAATTGATTTTAAATGGTTATTTAAAAGATTTAGAAAGTCTGCATTTAGAATGCTGCCATTTGTATGTTTGTTTATCAAGGGAGGAAAGAGAAAGGTCTATAGGAATTGTTTTTCCAAGGTTTATTGTCTTTCACGTAACTTATGTTTGTGAGTCATCTGCCAAATGGAAACAGACCAAGCACTGACTAATGTTATCCCAGAGTTTTTATTAACAGAATAAATGTGAAAATGACAGCCAAAATTGCTTGTGATAAAATAATAGAATATATAAGATGAATGACTGTGTATACCACAATGATCTGGAAACTCTCATTGAGCATTTTAGCATCAGGAGCTTCAGTTACAAGCCACACACTCTCTAATCTCAAACATGCAGTATAGAAAAAATGTTTTGTTCAGCTTTTCTGAAATCAAATACAAATTTATGCTCCACAATATGAGTTTGCAAGTAACTTGCAAATGATTGTAATAGTGACATGTTAAAGTGTTTACATTTTTCTTAATTGAAGTATAGAAACTATAAATAGCATGTTACATAGAAACTTACAGATCATAATATAAATTCACTTGTCAATGATAATTGCAATCAATATTTTGAAAGCATTTAAAGTGAGTGCTCCTTTGTGCACAGGTGACTCTGAGGTTGTGTCTAATCTGTCTTTAGTTAGATCTGATTCAGAGCAGGTTAATTGCAAGGCTACATAAGGTGCCTCCTTCAGAAACTCTTTCCAAAGCAGCAAGCTTGTGCTAGACTCAGCCTTGAGTTTTATTGCATCTAAATTTATTATTGGGGGGGGGCTTAATTTTGTATGTGTTTAGGTCAGTTGCAAGGACAGGCTTCCAGGACAGAGAAAGGTCTTTTCTGCAGGTGTTGGCCTTGTATCTGGAAAGGGAGATATGTGGGAATATCCATGCCACTCTCCCAGGAATCCTTTCCAGGACCCCTTTCCATGACCCCTTTCACCACTTCTTACAATGCCTGAAACAGGGTCTAGCAGCTGCAAAATGTTCCAGTGAAATCAGTCTGCCATTAGGTAATAGGGGCAATGCTAAGGTGAAATCTAGGAAACTTCTCAGATGCAGAAGTTTTTCAGCAGTACTAACATTAATAAAATTTGTGGTTGTAACAAAGAAGAGGTTAAAACAAACAAGCAGTTCATAAAAAGGCAGCAATGGAAAATATGATTACCTTTCATGTATGCTTAACATATTGCTGTATGGTGCTTCAATTTTTCATTCAGGCACTGGTTATTACTTAATGTAGCCTAAGACAATTGTTCTGCACACTGTTTTTTTTTAAATGAAAATAGCACTGAGGTATATTTATTTATTTATTTTTAAAATTTATAAGTCGCCCCACTCTCGGAGGACTCTGGGCAGCTAACAATAAAAACACCATAAAACATAACAAAACAAACAGTACAAGAACAGTCATCCAGGGGTCAGATTTTATAAACCTCAGGCCTGCTGGGCATTGATTGATTGATTGATTGAATGTTTGAGAACAGATTGAATGTTTGAGAACAGATTTAAAAATCAATTAGAAACCATTTGTCGGTGAGCATAGAAACAGAATATCCTGTGATGTAAAAATTTTTGGCATCTAGACAGTTCTGATGTTGCTTGTCAAACTAAAATTTACAGTCTACATGTGCAGTATCTCATACCTCCAGTCTTCTGGTGACTCCACCTAAAAGCCCACAGGAAGACTTTATTCTTTTCTAGAAAGCAATTGTCTCTGACCTTTGCCACTATTGCCATTATTTAATATAACACTAAATGGATTGAATTAATCCCCATCTCTTTTTAATATATATATTTTCAAGCAAATCCTTTTATCTGCTAACCCAGATTCATTTTGCCCATTCATTACTGTTTGCCTCTTTTATGCTTTCTTTTATATTAGGCCAATTTTTGCTACAGAGGAAAATGTAGTAATAGTATCATTGATAAATATATAAATATATCAAGTTAACCCTCTTGTTTAAAATGGAGTGCTTGCTCAAACCCATCAGTAATGGTCCAAAAGCATTTATTTATCAAGTAATATAGAGAAATGTTATACTTATAGAATATAGAGTTGAAAGGTATCTTAAGAGGTCATTTAAGTTCAACCCGCTGTGCAATGCAGGATTCAGTATAGCATCCCCCATAGGGGGATATTGGAGATATTGGAATACTGCTATCATGTCCCCCCTTGTCCTACATCTTGAATTTTGTCCCATTAGTTTTATCTTACCTTCTGGAGCAAGGGAGAATGTCCAAATCTTTTACAATGTGACTGCCTTTCAGATATGTAAAGGCAGCTATCGTGTTCCACCTCAATATTTTCTTTTGCAAGGTAAACATTCCTAAGTCTTTTAATCATTCTTTGTTAGTTCCAGTTCTCTCACCATCTTGGTAACTCTTCTCTAGACTTGTTCCAGTTCATCAAAGTCTTTTTCAAAATGGCTGTGTAGAACTGAATTCTATATCTAAGTGAGGCCTGACTAAAGTGGAGTAGGAATCATCTCCCATAGTCTGCTTTTTGCTCTTGCTGCTCTTTTAAATACTGTGTAAGATGTAATAATAATAATAATAATAATAATAATAATAATAATAATAATAATAATAATAATAATGTTGGAAGGGACCTTGGAGGTCATCTAGTCCAACCCCCTGCTCAGGCAGGAAACCCTACACCATTTTGGACAAATGGCTGTCCAGTCTCTTCTTAAAAATTTCCAGTGTTGAAGCATTTACTGCTTCTGGAGGCAGGCTGTTCCACTGATTAATTGTTCTCACTGTCAGGAACTTTCTCCTTAGTTCTAGGTTGCTTCTCTCCTTGATTAGTTTCCACCCGTTGCTTCTTGTCCTGCCTTCAGGTGCTTTGGAAAATACCCTGATTCCCTCTTCTTTATGGCAGCCCCTGAGATATTGGAATACTGCTATCATGTCCCCCCTTGTCCTTCTCTTCGTTAAACTAGACATACCCAATTCTAGCAACCGTTCCTTATATGTTTTAGCCTTCAGTCCCCTAATCATCTTTGTTGCTCTTCTCTGTACTCTTTTTAGAGTCTCAACATCTTTTTTACATCGTGGTGACCAAAACTGGATGCAGTATTCCAAGTGTGGCCTTACCAAGGCATTGTAGAGTGATATTAATACTTCACGTGATCTTGATTCTATCCCTCTGTTAATGCAGCCTAGCACTGTGTTGGCCTTTTTGGCAGCTGCAGCACACTGCTGGCTCATATTTAGGTGATTGTCTACTAGGACTCCGAGGTCCCTCTCACAGTTACTACTATTGAGCATGGTGCCACCTATGCTGTACTTGTGCATTTGGTTTTTCTTGCCTAAATGTAGAACCTTGCTTTTTTCACCACTGAATTTTATTTTGTTAGTTAGTGCCCAGTGTTCAAGTCTGTCCAGATCCTTCTGTATCTTAAGCCTGTCTTCTGGAGTGTTGGCTATTCTTGCCAACTTGCTGTTGTCTGCAAATTTGATGAGTTCCCCATCTATCCCTTCGTCCAAATCGTTGATGAAGATGTTGAAGAGCACTGGGCCAAGAACAGAGCCCTGAGGCACCCCACTACACACTTCCCTCCATATAGATGCAGTTCCATTGAGGACCATTGAGTTCCATTGAGGACCATAGTTCCATTGAGGACCATGTCATTGGTCTTCTTTGCATATGTTGAATTTAAGATTTACTAATACCCAGAACCTTCTCATATGTTTTGCTCTTGTGACAGATTTTGCTCATTTGTACATGACTTTACATTTCTCCCTGTTAAATTTTGTCCATTTGTTTCCATCCATTGTTCTAGCTCAAGACTTTTTTGATTCCCCCTTCCAAATATTAATCATTCTTCCTAGCTTTGTATCATCTGCAAATTTGGTAAGCATTCACCCAACCCCCTCATTCATAAAAACGTTGAACAACACTGGGCCAGGGCAGAGCCCTCTCGCACTGCACTCAACATGTCTCTCCAGGTAAATTCAATGCCATTTATAACTGCACTTTGAGTACAGCCCTTGAACTGTGGATCTACCTGATATTTCAGTTCTCAAATCCATATTTGACCATTTTGTTAACAAGGATGATATAAGTGACTTTGTCAAAAGCTTTGCTGAAATCAAGATATGCTAGATTTATGGCATTTTCCAAATCAACCAGGTTAGTAATTCTATCATAAAAGATATCACATTAGCTTGGCATGATCTGTTTGGCATACTTCCAATTGGATCCTCTTAATTAATTCCTAGCTAAGTGCTCATAGACAAGCTGTTTGGTAATATGCTTAAGGACCTTGCCCAGTGCCAATATCAAGCTCACAAGCCTCCAATTTCCTGGGTCCTGTTTAATCTTTTTTTTTGAAAATGGGGAGGAGGAAACCCCATGCCTTCTGAGACCTTGCCTGCTCTTCAGAACTTTTCAAATATTACAAAAGTGCAATTCTACAATTACCTCTGCTGATTCCTCCAATACCTTATGTATAATTCATGTGGCTTAGGAGACTTTAACTCATTTAACTTAGCTAAAATTCCCTCACTTGCTCAATGCTCATCTTGAACTCTAGTTGACACAGACAAATACACATCTGCCTCTAGTGGCACAATGAGGGTCAAGCAAGTGTTCCTTTACTTTCCAAAAGAAATACTTACAAAAATATTCTCCCTAGTCCACAATTATAATCATTAATAGATTTTTGATCCTTGATTTTTTAAGTACAGTGTAAATCACCAATGTAATGTTGCTTTGCATGCTTTTGAAATAAAACAGAACAGTTTGATAGATGAATGATTATAAATAACAAAGCAGGTTCAGAGACAAACAGATAAATGTTTACTAAACAATGTTTAGTAACACTAAAAGGGGGACTCTCTCTTGCACAGTATTACTGTTTAGCAATATTTAAATTACTACAATAAGTTTCCATTCTAGTACAAAGTAATGAGACAAGAGGTGCAATTCAATTTATCTATTGCTTCCTTTACAAATTGTGGACAGTTAGCCATTGCTAACAAGTAGTTAGCATGAAACCAGTGAGGCCAAATAGCCTTTTTCGGGCCAAAATGAAAATGAAGAAAAGCCCCAGGTGTGACTTTCAAGAACATGAATAAAAAGATTCATAATTAAATAATAGAAGAGCCCAATGATTGCTTCAAGAATGGCAAACCACAAAAAGAAACTCTAGATTAAACACACTAATGGAAGCTGTATTGAATTAGCATCAATTTGCTATTTAAATGGGAAAAATACTTTCACATTAAGGAAAGATGGATGATAAAAAAGAAAATAGAACAGTGGGTGGGGAAGGAGAGAGGGGCAAAGAATTTGTTTTTAATAGTCAAATAAAATTATTCCGTAGTGCTCTAATATATACATAATATAATGGAAGGTGGCAATTTCATAGATTAATTCTAGCTAATTAAGTTCCATAGTAATAAAGGTTTACATTATTAGTTTGAAAAGGAAGGATAACACAGATGATCTCAAAAATGTTGCACTGTCTAGTATACCACAGAAGATCTAAAAATTCATCACAGTTAAAGCCACAGTTTGTCAAAGAAATTACCTAAAGCATTTAGTGCTAAAAAACACTTTCTCCCAGGTGAGAATGCATCATGATTTTATGAGCCAAGAAATTTAAAAAAAGGTCTAGTCAAACAATGTAAGAGTTGTATATCAGTATAGGACTGTGGTCCATGAATTAGATCAGCCAGTGCAAGCAGAATTTAAAGACAAGCTATGGTAGCCACAGGCAAATAATTATGCCACAACTCAGATTTTGGGGGAAAAAACCCTCACATACCATTGGCTCCAATTATTATTATTTGAATAGAATAGCTTCATTCTTGCACAATGACTTGATGTCAAAAAGAGAAGAGGGGAGGAACTCATAAGATCTGGGCAATTTATTTTATTTTCTCATTTATTCATTACAATTAATGAATTTGATTTATATTTTACATTTCTTCCTAGGGCCCTGGCTTTGAGGTGAGACATCTGCAGTTATTCATCCTTGGATAAATTTTCATTATGATTACTGAAAAAGAGCTGAAGATAACTAACTTAAAGTGGTAAGCCATATTATGACTTTGGGCATATAAAATGCCATATTGGACATGGGCTAAAGATTTGCTACCATTTGAACATATTAATAAACAGCATTTTAACCACTCTAGACCTTGCCACTCTTTTTTATTAGAACAAGAAAGGGCTATTTTGGGTACTGCTTACAATACTTGGTCTATGTTTATCAATCAAGTAACAAAAATGTCTTGTAGGGTACTTACCACGAATGTATAATGTTGTGCAGACTTGGCCACAAATTCTGATTTGCATTCTCCAATACAGAGGAGTGCAGGACCGGAGCTAATGTCAGGCTCAGCTTGCCCCATTTCACATACAATTCTGAAAATGTAAAATCCATAGTGAGTTCTATAATAAGAAAAAAATGCTATTATATATATGCACATTGTTCATCCATAATAGTGTGGCTGATGCTCTCGTCTGATGAATGAGCTAATTTTGGAGACTTTTTTTTTTTTTTGCTGTGCAGTAATTTAACAGAAGAGAAAGTCAGAATTAGATATAATTATTGCAAGCTATAAAGTTGAGTGCTAAGCAAAGCACAAATGGCAAACACATTATACTATTGAAAAGAAAATGTGAAAACCTTGAAGTAATGGATGAGATCAATAATGGGAACCGCTCAGATAAAGAGACAATATGATTATAGGTTCCTCCAAAATTTACAGGTATGAGTGTAGGTCTTGAATATGTTCAATTGGACATGTAGTGTAGCTGGATTGTAGTTTTATATTGCCCAATAAGCTTGAAGCAACAGACATCACCATAATTGTACAAATTGAAGAGAAACATGGAAAGTGAATATATGTTTCTGTTTCTTATGGCTTTCTTTGCTGTTGTGTTTTTCTCTTCCTGATGATAGTTAATTCAATGTGCTGTATGTCAACAGGAAACTTATGCTTTCAGACTCAAGGAACAAAAAAAAAAAAAAAAAAAAAGAGGAATCCCAGCCCAGAGGGAATTCTAAATATTGTATATTTTAAATAGGTATGGTGATAAGAAGTGATAATATACAGTAAACCTGTTTGATTTAACAGATTGTAACCATTGTTCATGTACAATTATTCACCTCAGCTCTTATTGGCCAAAATGCCAAACAAAATCTGTATGATCATCTGTAATAGATTAATTGCCTCTTAGTCATATAATCTTAATTTCTCTTCTAAAGCACCCAATTTAATTTTGAATGGAAAGCTCTCCTATATCAATCCAAAGAATTAAATAGACAAAAAAATAAAATGCACACTTTTAGATTCTATAGAAGACAATTCAACTATTCATTTTAGAATTAATTTTTATACTTATTGCTTTCTACTATAGATAGTCCTTAATTTAAACTAGTCATTTAGCAACTATTTGAAATTACAACGACAGTGACAAAAATGATTTAAAATTGGTCTTCACACTTGTCACCATCGCAGCATCCCCATGATCATTTGATAAAAATTTGGGTGGCAACTACCGTAGCTTGGCAAATGGCATATACGTATGATGGTTTTAATATTGTGGGGTCCTTACTGCCATGTACAATCTTGCTGGTCTGCTTCTAACAAGCAAAATGGATGTGGGTAGCCAGATTCTCTTAATGACTGCATGAATCACTTAACAATTGCAATGATTCACTTAACATTCATGGCGAGAATTATTGTAAAAACAATCATGACTCACTTAATAACTGCCTTGCTTAACAACAGAAAACCTGGTCCCAATTGTGATCATATTCAGTATTATATTATTCGTTTAAAGTTTGTACAAAGTTTATACTCAGTTTTGTGTGCTTACAACATTATCCTGAAGAAATCTGTTCTATTTTACCCTTGGAAAACAAGGCATAATAAGAGGCATTGTGTCAGAGATAGACAAAGAAGAAGACTTCCAGGGAAGAAATTGTGAACTGAGAACAGCTCTGCTAAAAGCGGAGTTGACAATCACTGCAAAATAAAAAGCTGTTGAATAGACCTTTGCAATTTCTATCTGGGCGAGCACTTGAGATGAACCACAAGTGTTCCATAAAAGTAGTTCTTTTGAGAAGACTGCAAGACAGTAATCTCTGGCACGTTTAGGGCTCTGGGAGATGAAAGAATAACCATATTTTTGCTCAACCCATGGTTGGTGGCTTCAAAAGGACAATGGCTTCACATACTTCTTTTTCAATCAATTTAGTGAATTTCTTGTTAACAGGTTTTCAGCTATTAGAAACCTTTGGATTGACAAATTTTATAGCACTGGGTGAGTTTCTGTGAGGGATGGAGCCTATGGGTTAGGCAGTAGGGTGTGTATGTGTGATGTGAAATGGTAGTTTCCCAAGAAGGAGAGAGCACATTCCAAGGAGGGGTTGAGACAGGAAGCAATACAACCTGGAGCTGAATTGGAGAAAGAAGACTTAGGATAGCCACTCCCTAGAATTTCTCAGGATATATAGGTTAGTATTAAAGGTTAGTCTGCCAAGATTCTGAACTTTGATTGGCTTGATCTATGTCTTTCTAGGCCTGGCCTGATAATTTCAATCCTTAGAGAAAACAAAATTAAATACAACTTTAAACTTAATAATTTTTTTTTCAATTAACAGCAAAAGGGTAATTAGATCTTAGAAAATTACAAATAGACTAAGATAGTTTTGAAATATGATTTTGGAATTAACTATAAGAATCCTCCCAATGGGAAAATGTTTTTATTTTGAATTCTGTTAAAATGATAATATTCAATGGTACAATCATATACTTAGAAATCCTTTAGTGCCCTAGATTCAGTTAATTTGCCCCTAGAGATTTAAATGCATCCAGGCTGAATAGGTATCCCCTAGTCAGATTTTTTTTCATTAATTTTAAACTTTCTCTTTCTCTTGAATAGTGTTTTTTTATTTGGTATCTACTAACATTTTGCGATATTCATTAAGTAGCTGCTGGTAAATTTATTTATTTATTATTTATTTTCTTTGTTCTCTCCTTTCCTTTCCTTTTATTTTGAACATTTCCAAACTTTTATAACAAATAAGACTTTCTTACTATTAGTCTATTTTGCCAACCCGAGTTCACTCTGAGCATTAGACTTTCTAATACCATTTCTACAATTCTAGACTATTTTTCTCCTCTTTCCATTTCCTATTTGTCTCCTTTTTGTTACCAGATCTCATTAAGCTTTTTGTACAGTCACATTGGGCTTCCTCTGTTAGTTTTTTCCCCCTTATTGAAATTGTTTGTAGTTTTAGTGTATACTTTTGAAGGAGCTTTCTCTAATCTGAGGCTCCTTTTCCCAACAGTTTATCATAGTATGGAGGACAACTCTTTCATTTTCTGAAGGCACAATGACATAGCAATCTTACCCAACCTGGGTCCTTGCCAGTAACTCCTTTCAACTCCTAGACTTGTCAGCAATGGTCATTCTTTTTAAAGTTCTCTAAAACAATAATTTTTAATCCTTTACTATCTTTAAATAGTAGCATCCACTGGCTAGTATAAAATTAAAGATGGTACATTAATTCCTATGGAACATCTAATCTGAGACAGAAGCACTAATTCATGCCAGGCGACAACCACAGGTAAGCCTGTTAGAAAATTGTGCTTTTGGAAGAATCTAGGGGTCTGATTACTTTGTTAAGTGGCTCTTTACCAATATTAACCTAATTACCATTGACTGATAGCAAGGACAAAGTACGGTAAATCAATACTGTCTCAGAATCCAACCTGCTCACAGAATACTTATAAGAGGTCTTTTATATGGATTCAACTTGAAAAAGCAGCTGATCCTTGCTATTATCTGCCCAGGGTAAATGTTCTAATGATGTTAAGAATCTTTGAAAACTTGAGAGTACTAATTAGAGTTGTGATTATAAAATCAGGGTTTCCTAGTATGGTATCATCAAAAGAGGATAATTTTAATAATCCCCCTTTCTTCTAAAAATAAAATGAAACACTATGTCATATAAAGTATAATGGCTAAGTAGCCTATTCTTAGTCTGACTTATGATGGCATTAGTGCACAGCCTCAAGCTATTACAGTAATAATATTAGATAATAATAATAATAATAATAATAACAACAACCATAACAACAATAATGATGATGATGATAGTGGAAGGGACCTTGGAGGTCATCTAGTCCAACTGCCTGCTCAGGCAGGAAACCCTATACCATTTTAGACAAATGGCTATCCGGTCTCTTAAAAACGTCCAGTGTTGGAGCATTCACAACTTCTGGAGGCAGGTTGTTCCACTGATTAATTGTTCTAACTATCAGAAAAATTTTCCTAGATTGCTTCTCTCTTTGGTTAGTTTCCATGCATTGCTCCCTGTCTTGCCTTCGGGTGCTTTGGAGAATAGCTTGACTCCATCTTCTTTGTGGCAGTCCCTGAGATATTGGAACATATCATGTCACTCCTCATCCTTCTCTTCATTAAACTAGACATACCCAATTCCAGCAACCATTCCTTATATGTTTAGCCTCCAGTCCCCTAATCATCTTTGTTGCTCTTCTCTGTACTCTTTCTAGAGTCTCAACATCTTTTTTACATCGTTGTGACCAAAACTGGATGCAGTATTCCAAGTGTGGCCTTACCAAGGCATTGAAGAGTGGTATTAATACTTCACGTGATCTTGATTCTATCCCTCTGTTAATGCAGCCTAGCACTGTGTTGGCCTTTTTGGCAGCTGCAGCACACTGCTGGCTCATATTTAGGTGATTGTCTACTAGGACTCTGAGGTCCCTCTGACAGTTACTACTATTGAGCAAGGTACCCCTTATACCAGAGGTAAACAGCCTTGGCTCTTTTATGACTCATGGACTTCAACTCCCAGAATTCCTGACTCAGTCATAAAAGAGCCACGAGTCATAAAAGAGCCAAGGTTGCCTACCCCTGACCTATACTATACCTGTGCATTTGGTTTTTCTTGCCTAAATGTAGAACATTACCTTTTTCACCACTGAATTTCATTTTGTTAGACAGTGCCCAATGTTCAAGTCTGTATCTTAAGTCTATCTTCTGGAGTGTTGGCTATTCCTGCCAGCTTGGTGTCATCTGCAAATTTGATGAGTTCCCCATCTCTCCCCTCATCCAAATCATTGATGAAGATGTTGAAGAGCACTAGGCCCAAAACAGAGCCCTGGGGCACCCTGCTACACACTTCCCTCCATATAGATGCAGTTCCATTGAGGACCACACACTGAGTACGGCCAGTCAGCCAGCTATGAATCCATCTGGTGATGATGCTGTCTAACCCACATTTTTATATCTTATCAAGTAGTAGGTTGTGGTCTACTTTATCAAATGCCTTACTGAAGTCCAAGTAAATTATATACACAGCATTCCTCTGGTCCACTAATTTT